CTAACGAGCAGAGGTAACTCATTCCAAAGTCTTGGGCCTGCTACAGAGAAGGCCCTGTCACCTCTGCGCTTGAGACGGGTTCCTGGGACTGTTAGGAGCAACTGGTCTGCTGATCTGAGAGAACGTGGTGGGACATACGGCTGGAGTAGATCAGTAAGATAGGAGGGGGCAGAGCTGTTTAGTGATTTATAGACATACAAGAGTATTTTGAATTTGATTCGAAGGTGAACCGGAAGCCAGTGTAGGGAGGCCAAAACAGGAGTAATGTGCTCTCTTTTGCTTGTGCTGGTCAAAAACCGGGCTGCTACATTTTGGACCAGTTGGAGTCTAGCTATGGAGGTCTGACTGATACCAAAAAGGAGTGAGTTGCAATAGTCGAGCCTGGATGTAATGAATGCATGAATTACTGTCTCCAGGTTATTTTTGGACAATATGGGCTTCAGCTTAGACAGTCGCCTCAGCTGGAAAAAGCAGGATTTAACAATCATATTTACATGATTGTTGAGTTTCAGAGAAGGGTCAAGTATCACTCCTAGATTAGTGACTCTTTGTTTCACTAACGGTGACAGAACGGATAGGTCGATGCAGTGGTTGGTCATTGTGTCATTGGGAGGAAACAGCATAACTTCAGATTTCTTCTCGTTGAAACACAAGAAATTTAAAGCCATCCAATCTCTGACGTCAGCCAGGCAGTCCAGTAACGGTTGAATAGAGCGAGTACCGTTGAGTCTGAGGGGGAAGTAGATTTGGCAGTCGTCAGCGTAGAAATGAAAAGGTATGTTATGTTTCCTGAAAATAGCACATAGTGGCAGCAGGTATAAAGAAAATAAAAGAGGACCAAGGATGGAACCTTGCGGTACCCCCCATTTAAGCGCTGCCGAGGCTGAACTAAAATCTTTGATGGAGACACAAAAGGACCTGTCAGCGAGGTAAGATCTAAACCATTCGAGGGCTGACCCAGTGATGCCCACCCACTGCTCTAACCTCGCAATGAGGATCTCGTGGTCGATTGTATCAAAGGCAGATCAAAGGCAGATGTGAGGTCCAGTAAGAGAAGGAACACAGAATCACCAGCGTCTGTGAATAGGAGAATGTCGTTAAAAACCTTGAGTAGAGCAGTTTCAGTGCTGTGGAGAGGTTTAAAGCCAGACTGGAACAGCTCTAAGATGGCATTATCCTCTAGAAAGTATTTCAGCTGGGACGCCACTATTTTTTCCAGTAGTTTAGCGACAAAAGGGAGTCTGGAGACAGGCCAGAAGTTGGACATGACTGAGGGGTCAAGGCTAGGTTTTTTCAGGAGAGGTTGGACAGCAGCATGTTTAAAAGTTATTGGCACCACACCTGAGGCTAAGCTGCTGTTCACAATGCCAAGAACAGGAGGGCCCAGAACAGGAAGAAGTTCCTTGAGGAGTCGAGGGGGGACAACGTCAAAAGGGGAGCCAGATGGCTTCATGCTGCACATGACCTGCTCCAGGGAAGACAGAGAGATGGACTCGAAGTGGTCAAGAACAGCAACACAATGAGATGGGATGGACGGATCATGAGCAGGTGGAGAAATGAGTGCCCGGGTGTTTGCAACTTTTTCAGAAAAGAAATGGAGGAAGTTTTCACACAGCTCAGTTGAGGCTTCTAGAGGTGAAGGTTCACTGACGTGTAGAACTGAATTCAGGGTGGAAAAAAGGGCTCGGGGGTTGTGGGAGTTTGAGGCAATTATCGCAGAAAAGAACTTCGATTTGGCGGCTTTAACTGCCTTCTGATAATGACGCCAACTCTCCTTTAGGATTTGAAAAGAAACCTGCAGCCTGTCTTTCCTCCACCTGCGTTCTGCTCCCCTACACTGCTGTCTAACGGCTTGAGTGACGTCATTAAGCCATGGTTCTGATAAAAGTTTTGTTTTCCTGGTTTTAAAGGGAGCAACACGGTCCAGAATATTTAAGCAAACGGAGTTAAGCTGAGAGGTTAGCTCCTCGGTGGAGAGAGACACTGAGAGCTGATCGATCCTCTCAGAGCTAAAAGCTTCAGTAAAACGTGCAGCAGTGAAACGGTTAATGGCGCGTGAAGTACGTGCAGAATCACATGACTTAGCAGTAGGACAAGGTGGGATGATATCAAACAAGACAGGCATGTGGTCTGAGAGAACGTTGTCACCGATTACCAAATTACAAACAGAGACAACACGTGTTAAAATGAGATCCAGAGTGTGACCGTGTTGTTGGATGGGAGCATTTACATCCCCCAGAACCACCTAGGCCCTCCCCAGGGGGAAAGCAGTGCCCCCCTGCCCAGGTACCCCCAAGAGCCCAGCCCCCGGCAAACCCCCTGGCGCCCCAAACCCATACACCTGCCTCCACATCAACCCCAAGGCCCCACAAGGTCAGATCCCAGACTACCCACCCTCACTATGTAACGGAGCCGATCAAAGGAGCCCACAAAGATTGATCCAATGTGTCGGCAGATGCTGTTTCAAGACTAATATGATCTAACAGAAGATTTTTATACTGATTAATGCTAAGATTATTTTTATTTTTCCAATTCAGGAGTATGGTTTTCTTTGCAATGCATAAGGCAGTGAAAATCATGCGACATGTATTTTTTTCCAGGGTAACATCTTCCAAGATAGCCAATAAGCAAACAGATGGAGCGAGTGGAATATTACATTTCAGACATTTAGACAAGTCTTCACAAACCT